AAATCCGAAACGCGCATGGTCCAGGGATGAAAGGTTACCCACATCTGGCGACGTCTTCTTGTGAACGGCGTCCGTTGCCGTGTACGAATCGCGGAGGGCCACCTTTTTGTGCGTCCGATCCGTCAGCCCATCCCTCGCCGCGGAAGGCATTTTGGTGCATGGAAGAAAGCAGCTGCTGGAGCGGGCCGCCAAGGACGCCCGCCTCGCTTGCCTGCACGAAGCATCGAAGAGGCCCTTTGCCCACGACCCGTGAACGGTGGCGGGATGGGCCGACTGCCACTCCATCCGCCGCCCCCTGTCGATTCATCGCAGGGGTGCCTGGCGTGCCAGACGATTTCGGTTTTGGTTTTGGTTCGTTTCCAGAAGAACTCCCCGTGGGGCGTCGGCCCGTCCCGCCAGCCACCCGGAAGACCCGGCTGCTAACGGGTTTCCTGCCCCAGACGGCCCCCAGATGGCTTCCAAGACGGCTAAGATGGCCCCAGTCTGCCTCCAAGACGGCCCACGATGCACCCAAGGCGGCCTAAGATAGCCTCAAGATGGCCTTAGACGGCCCAAGAGGCCCCCAAGAGGCCTCGCAGACGCTCCAAGAGCTCCTCCAGGAGGGCCCGAAGAGGCCAAAATCAGTGATTTTCCTGAGGTTTTTGGAAGATGTTGGCATTCGCTTCTTCTCGGCTTTCCGACGACCCAAGACGGCCCAAGAGGCCCCAAAGATCGCCCCCACAGCGCTCAAGAGGCCTCCAACATGGCCTCAGGACTGCCCAAGAGGCCCCCAAGACGGCCCCAAGAGGGCACAACGACGACCCAAGAGGCCTCCAAGACGCCCAAGATGGCCTCTAGGACGGCCCTGGAGCACCCCAAGAGTGCTCCAAGTCGGCTCAGAAAGGCCACCCAAACGGCTTCCGATGGCGTCAGACGGGCCAGGAGCCCACCAAGTTGGCCGAAATTGGCTCGAAGCTGGCCCAAGACGGCCCAAGAGGCCTCCAAGAGGGCCTCCGGGAAGGCCAGAAAAGGCTCCAAACACTGATTTTCCATTTGAAGGATTCTGACATTTGCTTCTTTTCGGCCTTCCGACGGCCCGATACGGCCCACGAGCCCCCAAAGATCGCCCAAAGATCGCCCAATATGCCTCCAAGATGGCCCCTATGACGGCCCAAGAAGTTCCCAAGACGGCCCCCAAAGGCCCCCAAGACGGCCCAAGAGGCTTTTAAGACGCCCAAGATGGCCTCCAAGACGGTCCTGGAGCATTCCAAGAGGGCCCCAAATCGGCTCAGAGAGGCCTCCCAAACGGCCCCCGACGGCGTCGGACGGGCCAGGGGCCCACCAGAACGGCCGAAGATGGCACTAAGATGGCCCAAGACGGCCCAAGAGGCCTCCAAGAGAGCCTCCGGGAAGGCCCGAAAAGCCGAAATCATTGATTTCCTATGAGTTTTTGAAGGATTGTGGCATTTGTTTTTTTTCGGCTTCCGACGGCCCGAGACGGCCCAAGTGCCCCCAAAAATCGCCCTAGAGGCCCAAGACGGCCCCAAGATGCCCCCAAGACGGCCCAAGAGGCCTCCAAGACGCTCAACATGGCCTCCAAGACGGCTCAAGAGCCCTCCAAGACGTCCTCCAAGAAGGCTTGAGGGTCAAAATGGCCTCCAGGCGGCCAAGATGACCTTCAAGATGCCCACGTGTTCCCCGGAGGCTTTCCAAACCGATTCGGGGAACACATGGTCCGATAGCTTGGCAGGTCTGGCCTCAACGTTCGGCCACATAGGCGCTTCCAAAAAGGCAGGGGGCGGCGGTGATTCGCCGTAGGCGTCTTCGATCCGCTGCCCCCTGTCGATTCATCGCAAGGGTGCCTGGCGTGCCAGATCCTTTCTGTTTTGGTTTTGGTTCTTTTTCCAAAAGAACTCCCCTGGGGGCTTCGGCCCGTCCCGCCGGCCACCAGGAATGATCTTCCAGATTGCCCAGAGGTGGTTGCAAAAGGTTTTTCCTGCTCCAGACGGCTCCAAGACGGCTAAGATGGCCTCCAAGACGCCTCCAAGACGGCTCAGATGGCCCCAAGATGCCTCCACGATGGCCCAATATGCCTCCAAGACGGCCTAAGACAAGATAGTTCAAGACGGCCCAAGAGGCCCCCAAGAGCCCCCCAAGACGTCTCCAAGAGGTCCTCAAGGAGAGCCCAAAGAGGCCAAAATCTTTGGTTTTCCCGAGGTTTTTGAAGGATTGTGGCATTTGCTTCTTTCCTGCCTTCCGAAGACCTCAAGACGGCCCAAGAGGCCCCCAAGATCGCCCCCAAATCGCTCACGAGGCCTCCAAGATGGCCCCTATGACTGCCCAAGAAGCTCCCAAGAGGGCCCCAAGACGGTCCAAGAGGCCTTCAAGACGCCCAAGATGGCCCCCAAGACGGACACGAAGCGCCCCAAGAGGGCCCCAAGTCGGTTCAGAGAGGCCCCCCACAACGGCTCCCGACGGCGTCAGACGGGCCAGGAACGCCATAAGACGGCCAAAGAAGCCCTCAAGAAGCCCCAAAATGGCCCCTATGAGGCCTTCAAGAGGCCCCAAGAGAGCCCAAGATAGCCCCAACATGGTCTCCAAGACGGTCCCAAGATGGTCCAATCGAGCCCACGAGTGCCTCAAGAGGCTCCGAAGAGGCATCCTCCCCCTTCTCCTTTTTCCTCCTTCTCCTCCTCCTCCTCCTCCTCCTCCCCTTCCTCCCCCCGTCCGCGTTCCCTGAAACCTTTCCAAACCGACTCGGGGAACACATGGTCCGATAGCTTGGCCAAGCCCTGGCCCAACTGTCGGACACATCGGCGCTTCCACAAGGGCCGGGGTCGGCGGTGATTCGCCGCAGGCGTCTTCGATCCGCCGCCCCCTGTCGATTCATCACAAGGGTGCATGGCGTGCTAGAACCTACTGGTTTGGGCTTGGTTCTCTTTCTCAAAGAGTTCTCCCCGGGGCCTCCGGCCCTTCGCCGCGGGCCTCCCGGAAAAGGTGGCTGCCGTGCCTCTCCAACGGCCGTCTCGCGAGGGACATCCTCCACAAATCGCAGTCTTGGGGCCCAGATGGCCCACGATGGCCTCCAGGACGGCCAGAGAGGGTCCAAGGTGGCTCCGAGTCCGCCCAAAAAAACTCCAAGATGGCCCACGACGGCCCAAGAGGCCCCCAAGAGGCGTCCAACACGGCCGAGGAGGCCTCCAATAGGTCCTCCAGGAGGGCCCGAAGAAGCCAAGTCATCGATTTCCAAGAGGTTCGTGAAAGATTTTGGCACACACATTTTTTAAGCATTCCGACAGCCCAAGACGGCCCAGGAAGTTTCCCAAGATCGCCTCAAGATGGCCCTCCAGTCCTCCAGAATCAAAAAAAAGCCTCCAAGACGGCGCAAGGAGGCCTCCACTGGTCCAAACTCGTTTCCAAGACGGCCTCGAGGGCCCAAGATTGTCACCAGGAGGGCCCAAGAGGGCCCAAGATGCTTCCAAGTCCGCCCATGAAACCTTCAAGACGGCCCAAAAACCCCAAGAGCCCCAAGGAGGCCTCCAAGAGGCCTCCAAAAGAGACCCCCAGGAAGTTCCCAGGAACACCCAAGAGTGACCCAAGAGGCCCCAGAAGGTCTGTCTCATCCTCCTCCGCTCCCTCCTTTCGTCATTCTCCACCAGATCTTCCTTCTCGAACGTTCGCCCCCTAGTCCCATATTGATTAATTCGGGGATCGCATGCTCCTATGTTTACGTTGAGCTCGAGCCCGCGCGTTCAGTCACAGATGCGGTCCGACAGGGCATGCCTGGCGCGCTAGATATTTTGGTTTGGTTTTGGTTCTTCCCGTACATGATTGTTCCTTGAGGTGTTCCCACGTCCCAAGAGGCCCGCCCAAGCCTCCGGGGCGGCCCGAAAATCCAAGAAAAGGTCCTTTGGAGGGTCTGCCGAGGTCTCGGTCATGGTTTTCCACGTTCTGTTTCATGATGTTTGCGTGTGTTTTTCCTGGGCCTTCGGATTCAGACTCGTCCCGCGCATTTCCTCTCTTCCCGTCTTCCACGTCCTCGTCCTGATCTCCACGACGGCTCCTTCTCGTCCTTTCGGCCTATCCTCGTCGGTCCCTTCCTTCTCCTCCTTCTCGTCTTCCTCATCATCCACCCTCTCTTTTCTTCCAGAGCGCTTGCCCTCCCTCTTGCCACGTGCGTTCCCGCCAATGGCTGCGTGGCCGCTTCGGCGAACGCATGGCCCGATGTGAATGTCAAGCTCGAACCCATGCGTGCGCTCACAGATGCGGTCCGGCAAAGGTCTGAATCGTTTGGTTTCGGTCTATATCTTAACAGCTGTTTTCCTGAGGCTCGCCGCGTGCCGCAAGGCCCACCGCGAGTTACCGCCGCGGCCCAAGCGGCCTCCAAACGGCGCCTCGGAGGCTTCGCGCCGTGTGCGATGATGGCTCCAGTGTTGTGTACCATGGTGTTTGAATGTGCGTCCTACCGGGCCTCTCCCTACGCCCTTAGGTTACTGTGCCGCGACGTGCCCAGGCCGCAAGAGGCGGCCAGGTCCGTTCCTGGTGTTCACCTCGGCCTTCGAATCCCCCGAGACTGGCGGTGAAGTTCTCGTCGGCGTCGCTCCGCTGGGCGTGGCGGCCGGCGTAGTTCGCTTGGCGAGGCGTTCAACTCGTGGGAGCACAGAGTACGACGACGACCCTGTCGAGCGGGGAGTTGCCGCCGCTGCGTGCATCGGCGCCTGGGCGTGGCCCTGGCGAGCTTGGGCATGGCCCGAACGCATCTCTTCGTGACGTGTCAATCAGATGTCGCCCGCCCCAAACGCGTGCAATTGGATGAATGCGATGCCTGGCGCAACAAGCTTGTCATGCATTCCCCACGGCGATGCGTACGCAATCATGTCTCGCCCTCGCCATGCGCGTTCAGTCTCGCTCCTTTTGCCGCACTTCTCGCGTGGCCCCAAGGGCTCCCTGATCTTCGAGTTTGGTGTCCAACGCATTCCATTATTATTCCCGCGTGTTGTGCTCTGTGGGAATCAGCGCACGTGTCGAATCGGTGCTTGCCGTCTGCCTTGAAGTCGAATGCGTCGATATTCAAATCACCCTGCAATTCCTGCATATCTTTTTTTTTCTGGCACTTCTTCTCACGTCGCGGTTCGTCGTGCGGGGGTACTTTCTCGCAGGGGGCGCATTTCTGCGTGTCCCTCTTCACGCCAGCCTCAAAAATATTGCGCTTCTTCTTCAGGTCGCTGGTCTCCGTCTGGTCAAATTCCCTCTTCGGCAACGCCCTCTTGCACCTACCCTCGCACTTCAGGCGCGCCTCAGACTTGGATTTCTCGGATTTCTCGCAGATGTACACCTCGAGCTTGTCCCTTGCCTTCGGATTGGGCCGCTTCGCTCCGCAAAAGGCGCACGGTGGTTATTTGTGGTCCTCGCAGAAGTACTCCCCCTTGATTCGTTCGTTAGCTTTTGATGGTGTCCACTGGTCTGTTCTCAGTGGCCTCGTCTTTCAAACACTGCACGCAGGGCGGATAAGAACACTCGTGGCACTCCCTACGGGGAGTCTGCCGCTGGTTCGCGATACCTTCCTCAATGTCCAACGGCTGGAACTCCCACGAGCACTTGGCCTTGCAAAATTTCGAACTGGAGCACTTTGCGATGATCTTGTTGGCGTCCTTCCGCTCCCTGGCCACGCACCTCGCGCAATTTGCCTCTACCAAGGCGTCTTTGCTCCGCCAGGCCTGGAGCATCCCGTCCACGAAGTGGTACTCTGGCAACAATCGTCCGCGCGCGCCGTGGTACTGTGGCATTTACCTTTCGCCTTTTCCATGCTTGTGGCCGAGGTTCTCGTTGCACGTGGCTCCGTCGCCGATCTCCCCAGACTTCTGATTCACTTAATTGAAACTGTGGCGGGGAAGCTCCCGTTCGCATGGTCCATCGCAGCAGAAGAGGTGCTCCTTCTTTTGGTACTACTTGCGCTGTCTCTGGCACGTCCGGCACGCCAAGTCTGTGCCTCGCCGAAGGAGCTCTTCCGTGATATGAGCGAAATCTCGGCTGGGGCTAAATTTGCAAGTTTCTTTCCGTACATTCTGGTCGTCGCCCCGATCTGCTTTCTCCGTCGGTGTCAGCCTGTCTGTGAAAATGCGGCATGGCCACGTCGTCGCCGATAGCCAGTCGGCCCGGTTCTCTTTCTCCTTCGCGACCAGCCTGTCCTTTTCCTTCCACGCTGCCTCCACCCCTGGCGTCGTTCCGAGCTTGTTTGTCAAGACGTCTAGGAGGAGTCGCGGACTAGGGAGCATCCCCTGTCGGAGCAGGTGTCATGTTGTTGTTTTGTGGTGGTTCATACCTTTCGTCTTCGGGCATCTGGTCCCCAAAAGGTTTGCGCGCCAGTTCGGGGAACACTTTGCCAAACATGCCCCTATGACGGTCCTAGACGCTTTTAAGACAGCTCCGAGAGAGCCTTACGACACAGAACGACGCGCTGAAGACGCCTCACATGGTTCATACTCATCGCTCTCGGTCACCTGGTCCCGAAAGGTTCCCGCGCCAGTTCGGGGAACACCTCCTCCTTTGAAATGGCCGCGATGTTTTTTGTTCGTCCGCAGAAGCACTCTTCGCGGCCAAAACACTCATAGGCACACTCGGGCATCGCTGGGGTCCAGATGGCTCAAGATGGCCTCCAAGATGGCCCAAGAAGGTTTAAGATGACTCCGAGTCCGCCCAAGAAGCCTCCAAGATGGCCCAAGACGGCCCAAAACGCCCCCAAGAGGAGTCCACGACGGCCCAAGAGGCCTCCAAGCAATCCTCCAGGAGGGCCCGAAGCGGCAAACATCATTGATCCCCCATGAGTTCCTCTCCCTACTCCTCTTCCTGCTCCTCTTCCTCCCTCTTCTGATCCTCCCCCTCGTCCTCTTCCAAGCGCCCCTCAAGAGATTCCAGAACGGCTGGGGGAACACTTCGTCGGATGGCTTGGCCAAGCTGGGGTCTAACGTTTGGCCACAGAGGCGCTTCCCCAAAGGCAGGGGACGGCGGTGATTCGTCGTAGGCGTGTTCGATATGCACACTGTCAACATGCAAGCGTGTACGTAGGCTCTTGCATCGGTATGACATACATGTCGCAGGCTGCGGTGCGTACATGTACATACACCATGCACATACACGGGTGACCAGTACATACGATGTGTCTGGTTCTGTGTGCACGCCATATTTACTCTGTGTACATGCCGTGAGAGAGAGGGGGGGGAAAGAACGAAAGAGATATATGAACCACATCTGGTTGACGGTGCGATGCAAGGAGCACACTGCAATAATGCTTGATGAGTGGATCGTGCCTGGCGGGCAACGTGAAACTTGTGGTCCTGGTGCCAGCTTGCAGATCCTGCGCCGCCAGATAAGCAACTCATTCTGACTCCCCTGTAGCAAGGCTGGACAAACTGACCGCCTCCTCCTCCTCCTCCTCATCCTGAACGAACACTCGCATGCCGACATCGCCAACATAATTCAACTGAAGGTGTTACCGTACTTGACGTCCATATGCGGCCGAGTGGGAGCGCACCCGAAATCTTGCTGGCAGACACACGTCGAAATGCAAATCCGAGACTCTATGCACGAGGAACTCGCCGACCCAATGGCGTGATAGAAGCCATGGCCTCTTGTCCAGTCTGCCTAGTGTGCGGTGCACTAGGAGCCATCATACGTGATGTGTTCAACCCTATGCCGCTGCCCGCCCGCCCCTGACGTGGCTTGGAGGCGCGCAGTGGTGGGTAGGGGGAGGGGGGAAGGCTTCTTGGCAAGGGGCTGCTTCTTAGAAGGCGCGGGCCGTACATCTACAGCTAAGGATAGACAAAGCCCGCGCCTTCTAAGATGCAGCCTCCTCCTAGGAAGCCTTTCCCCCCTCCCCCTACCCCTTTCTGCGTGTGGCCGCGTGTTAGCGCCAACGTGCGCTCGTCCACCGAGGCCCTTCAAATACGATGCAGGTGGCGCAACGAAGGCCGACATGGGCTGCGCGCTATCGGCGGAGCCGAACGGGGTAGACACACGCTTGGGCTAGCACGCGTCCTGAGGACCATCGAAGGGGGGGGGGGGGGGCGGCCACGGCCTTGCGCCCCCCTACCCCCCTCTGCGCGGGGGCCGACTTGCCCCTGACACCCCCGCTTGCCGCACAGCGATTGGGCGTCGCTTACGTGGGGGGAGGGGGGGGCGATATCTGGGATGGGGGGGGGGTAAGGTGCACTTCTCGGGCCGTCAAGGCCCCCTTTGGGGCCCCAGAGGGCCCCTTTACGGGCCCTGGAGGGCCCGTGGGGGCCCTCCTAGGGCCCGTTTTTTCTGCAGCCCTCGCTGCCCCTCCTTCTATCAATCGCCTCCTCCTCTCTCCTCCTCCTCCTCCTCCTCCTCCTCCTCCTCCTCCTCCTCCTCCTCCTTCCCCTCCCCTCCTCCTCCTCCCTCTCCTCCTCCTCCTCCTCCTCTCCTCCCTCCTCCTCCTCTCCTCCCTCCTCCTCCTCCTCCTCCTCCCCCCCCACCCCCTAACGCGACGCCCAAAGCGAGGGCGACGGCCAGCTGCCGGCGGGGGCGCCGTCGCTCTCGGCGACGGGCTGAGCCACCTGCCGCCGCCGGCGAGGCTCGCGGAACGGCGGCTGCATGCCCTCCTCCTCCATCCTCCTCCATCCTCCAAATCCCCTCCTCCAAATTCTCTCCTTCTCCTGCTCCTCCTCCGTTTCCTCCTCCTCCTCCTCTCTCCCCGTATTTCCGATGCCTCCCTTCCTCTCTCCCTCTCCCTTCCTCTCCCTCCTCTCCCTTCCTCTCCCTCCTCTCAGACTGCGACAAACGGCTTCCCGTATCCATCTCTACCAGTCGACCTCCGGCCACCGCCAGACCAATACTCCGACCTCCAGCCTCCGACATCCGGCTGCGACCACAACCCATTCACGATCATCCACAAAAACGCGAGGAGCCTGACTACAGACGACTCGATCGACCTACTGATCTGCGAATTGGGAAAACATACTTGGGACATCGTGGCAATAAACGAAACATGGAGGACCGAGCAGCACGAGATGTGGACTACGAAACTTGGATCGCATGTTTTTTGCGGCAGCCGGTCACACCGCTACATCACGAGGTGTTGCTTTCTTGATCCACCAGCGGCACGTACGCAGCATCAAGCGTTTCAGACGTATCAACGAACGCATCGCCTACATCGACCTCGACATTGGCAAGTGCAGGATGAGAATGATGACAACATATTTTCCTCATTCCGGGTACGCCGACGTTCACGTCCAAAGTATGTATGATTGCCTGACCGCCATTCACGACGATGCCGCCCACCAGAAGCGAGTCGCAATCATCACTGGACATTTCAACGCACAAGTTGGACAGCGACCAAATAGCGCGGACGACGATGTCAATCGCAGCGCAAGCCGAAGACCAACCGTGGGAGCACATGGACTGGGAGATTGCAACACACGTGGAACGTGGCTACGAGCTTGGGCCAACACACAAAGGATGCTTATCACGAACACCATGTTCTACAAGCACCACCACAACGTTTTTACGTACACCAGCAGCGGAGAGCATCCTACCCAGTCTCAAATTGACTACATACTCATAGATAGATGTCGCCGCAATCAAGTACTCGACGCATTTGCCACCAGCACTCCGGACCTCGGTTCAGACCATCAAGCAGTATGCATGAAGATGGTCCTCAACCCCACGAAACCCAACAAGAAGAGCAAACGTAGACGACGAACACCCTACCAATCATCTCGTCCGCCCGCCGCCGACCCACTTTACCAGCAGTGCTTACAGCGCCGACTCGACGATCACGACCGCACAGCTAGTACAAATGACAGGTGCACCTACATCAACAACGCCCTTGTCCAGGCTCACGAAGAGTATCGCGAACATGCGCGAGCTACTGCACAATGCCCGGCGCATGGGAAAGACCTCACAGCAGACCACAAACTACAAGAACTCATCGTCCAACGACGTAACACACCACACAATGACACAACCAAACGTGCCACGTTGAGCAAGCAAATCTTGAGGCAACTTCGAAACATCAAACGAGCCCGCGACAACGCTAAACTAGATGACATTGTCTGCCAATTCGAAGGCCTCAAGAGGATCGCCGGTGTGAAGTCTTCCAAACGAAAATACATGATTGCACCAATGACGACCCCAACGGGAGACGAGGAGATTGACAGGACAAGCATCGCCGACGTTTTCGCGGCATTCTGCGAGAAACTCTACCGGAAGCAAGAGCGACAACAAGGATAATAACACTGCCACAAAGGCAACATATTCCAACATACCGCCATTCACGATGGAAGAAATACGGAAAGCCATCAAACAGCTGAAAAAATGGCAAGTGCAGCGACACTGCTGGCCTCACAGCAGAACTGCTCAAAGCAGGAGGCACGACCATTGAAGAGTACTTGCTGCAGCTCTACAACGACACTATCACACCAAACCACCTGCCACCCGACCAATGGAAAAGCACGACGATCACGGTTATATACAAGTCTGGAGACCCCAAACTACCACAACATTGCAAACCAATTGCCATCATCCCGTTGTTGTACAAGCTTATGTATCGCCCCATATGCAATCGGCTTGAGACAGCATTCGACGCACAACAGAGCCCCGACCAAGCTGGTTTCAGGCGTGGCTACAGCACGGAAGACCACTTATTCACTACGGCAGTATTGTACGAACAGTCATGTCGTTGGCAACTACCACTCTGGGCAGCCGCAATAGACTTTAAGAAAGCGTTCGACTGCGTGAGCCATGGTAAACTTTGGGAAGCTTTGCGACAGCAGCACATCCCTGCTGCATATATTGATCTCTTACAACAAATGTACAGCGACCAGACAGCCACAGTCAGAACAGACACTAACAGCCAACATTTTGACATACAGCGGGGAGTGATGCAAGGAAACCCTCTCAGTTCATTCTTGTTTAATTCGCTTTTGGCGCACATTTCCGACAACTCAAGACCAAGTGGCACCAAAAGCGGTTTGGCATCAGGCTTGGCTATGCACAAGAGGCTCGCATCACCAACCTGCGCTTCGCAGATGACGTCCTGCTGTACGCTCCGAACCTACGCCAGCTTACCTGTCTGCTACGCGACTTGAAAAACCAGGCGGCACTCTGCGGACTTTCACTACACCCCGACAAGACCAATATCCTGACGAACGATAGCCGGAAGATGGGTAGAACCATAACGCACATCAAGTTGGACGACGCACGTGTCGACATCTTGCACAACGACCAGAGCACAAAATACTTAGGCAGAAAACTGTCGCTCCACAACTTCCACGAGTACAAACTAGCAAACAGGATCGCCGCAAGGTGGGCGAAGTTCAACCAGCTACGGAATGAACTCACGAATAAACGGTTCTCTTTGCACAGTAGACTACGACTTCTCAGCGGCACAATCACGCCTTGCGTTATGTATGGATGCTGCTCATGGACTCTCACCAAAGACATGCTCCTCACGCTGCAGAGGACACAACGGAAGATGATTCGTCTGGTCGTGGGCGTGCCGAGAAGACGGCTCCGACAAGGAAACAACAACGCAGCACCCGATACCAACAGCACAACCGACGACACTGGTGACCAGCACGAATTTGGACCGCGCAGCAGAGACGACGACCTGGAACCCTGGGTGGATTTCATACGCAAGAGCACACGCACTTCCATAAGTATTGCCGAGCGCATGCATGTGCAAAAATGGACACACATATATTCCAAAACGAAATGGAGCTACGCAGCTCGAGTCGCAAGCCACAGTCACGACAGATGGACGAGACGTTGCATAACTTGGGACCCGAGCGCTCACGACGCACGACGAGCAGAACGACGACACGGCGGTCAACGGAAGACTTGGAACGACGACATATTGTCATTTCTTAAAACAGCTACATAATATAAATACGACAATCAATGGGTGGATATGGCATCTGATGCAAATTTGTGGAAAAATCTTGAGGACGGCTTTCTCGACTACATGGGGGACTTCCTTCTTCTCCCTCAAAGAGTCTCCAACATCCATCTCTCCGATTTCTGCTCGCAACACGTCTTCTGAGGGCCCCGGCACCGCCGCGCTGCCCTCGTAGGGCCGGTCCCGCTGGACCGACATCGCGCGCTCGTCTCGTCTCGTCTTCCATCCTCCGCAATTGCACAAAATGAATACTATCCTCCTCTCTACATTGATGACGTCCCGAAGATATTCGGCCCCTCTCCGCGTGCTGTTTCTTATACACAAGATTCCCAGGACCTCTTTTTCCCGCTGAGGCACTGGCTTCATTTTCGGGCTTCCGCTCGTTCCGAAACGTGCTCCCGCTGCAACGCTGGCCTCATTTCCGCGCTTCCGTTCGTTCCGAATTGTGCTCCCGCTGCAGCGCTGACCTCATTTCCGCGCTTCTGCTCGTTCCGAATCGTGCTCCCGCTGCAGCGCTGGCGTCATGATTTCCAGTGCCATGCCACGGCATGCTTTTCGGTCCGTCCGCATAAGCATCCGAATCTAAAAAATGCACCCCCGAAAAAACCGTCGGAAGCAATCCTACATTCGGAGCCGATTCGATGATTTTTTGGGCCGCAGAAGCCCCCCCCACTTTGGCGCGTCGCCACGCCATGCTATGTCATGCTACGCGTTGACCTTCAACACCATGCTATGCCATGAAATGGCTACGACATCCGACTCTGCGAATCGAGAGGGGATCTACGCCATGGTAAGGGATGGGAGGGATGGGTAGGACGTCAGATATGACGCGAGCGCACCTCGCTTGTCCTAGTCCTCCTCCTCCTCCTCCTCCTCCTGCGTCGACCTCCTCCCTGTCTCCTCCTGACTCTCTGGTCGTCGTCCGCCGGAGGTCTGGAACGTCTGCAGGCGAGCTACCAAGCTCATGCCATCACAGGAAGGGCAAACAAAATAAGGCGAGAGCAACACAACAATGCATTGCGATTGCGGACTTCTTCCTGGGGAAGGAGGTCTTGCTAACCTTCATGATGAAGGCAACAGTTACAACCGTGACGGCCGCACCTCATACTGGCCATCTCTGGAGGACTGTTTCGATCGTAACCAAGCGGGCAGCATTGGAGTTCTGCCTCGATGGGAGAGCGGACCCTTCATCGCATTCTCGGCCGCAATACACTCGAAATCATCATTCCTCCTTCCCTTTCTCCCCTTCCTCCACCTCCTCCTGATGCTCCTCCTCCTCCTCCTCCTCCTCCTCCTCCTCCTCCGCCTCATTGCTCCTTGTCATCCCCTTGCTGCCCGTATAATTGATTTTTCAAGGCATCTTATTTCCCAACCCTCCTGTGTTGGGTTCTCGCTTTGGATTTGGCACTGCGGTCCCGACTCCTCCCCTCCCGCCACCTCATCCTGCCTCCTCCTCCGCTGCTCCCTGGGAGGCTGCGAACTGCGCAAGTGGCGCCACTTTCGCGGGCTCCTGGGGGGCACGGCGGCGTAGGGGGGAATACGCGCGCGCGCAGTCGAGACCTCGCTGCTCCCTAGGTGGCTGCGAGCTGCGCAACTGGCGCCACTTTCGTGGGCTCCTGGGAAGCACGGCGGAGTCGAGGAGTGCGCGCATCCAGACGGGACCTCGCAGCTTCCTGGGTGGCTGCGAACTTCGCAACTGGCGCCACTTTTGTGGGCACCTGCGAGGCTCGGCGGAGCCGGGGAGTACGCGTGTCCAGACGAGACCTCGCTGGCCCCCCCCTGGGAGACTGCGAACTTCGCAACTGGCGCCACTTTCGTGGGCTCCTGGGAGGTCGAGCGGAGTCGTGGAGTGCGCGCCTCCAGACGGGACCGCGCAGCTCCCTGGGGGACTGCGAACTGCGCAACTGGCGCCACTTTCGCGGGCTCCTGGGAGGCAAGGCGGAGTAGTATGGGGAGTGCGCGCACCTAGCCGAGACTTCGCAACTCCTTGGGTCTGGTGCCACTTTCGTGGGCTCCTGGGAGGGACGGCGGAGTAAGGGAGTACGCGCACCCAGCCGAGACCTCGCAGCTCTCTGGGGGATTGCGACCTGCGAGCATGTCGCCACTCTGGGTTCATGGGGGGCACGACGGAGCAGGGAATGCGCATCAATACGAGACCTCGCAGCTCCCTGGGTGGCTGCTAGCTGCGCAACTGGCGCCACTTTCGCGGGCTCCTGGGAAGCACGGCGGAAGAAGGGAGTACGCGCGCGCAGCCGAGACCTCGCAGCTGCCCGGGGGCTGACAACTGGGCAACTGACGGCACTTTCGTGGGCTCCTGGGAGGCACGGCGGAGACGCATGGGAGTCCGCGCACCCAGCCGAGACCTCGCAGCTCCCTGGGAGGCTGCGCACTGCTCAGCCTTCGCCATTTTCGTTGGCTCCTGGGGGGGACGGCGGAGTAGGGGAGCACGCGCACCCAGCCGAGACCTCGCAGCTCCCTGGGTGGCTGCGAACTGCGCAACTGCCACCACTGTCGTGGGCTCCTGGGAGGTCCAGCGGAGTCAGGGGCCACGCATACCCATTTGAGACCTCGCAGCTGCCTGGGTGCCTGCGAGCTGCGCAACTGGCGCCACTTTCGCGGGCTCCTGGAAAGCACGGCGGAGCCGGGGAATACGCGCATCCAGATGGGACCTAGCAGCTCCCTGGGTGGCTGCGAACTGTGCAACTGGCGCCACTTTGGTGGTCTCCTGAGGAGGCACGGCGGAGCTGGGGGCCACGCGCACCCAGACGAGACCTTGCTGCTCCCTGGGTGGCTGCGACCTGCCAGCATGTCGCCACTTTCGGGGTGCCTGAGAGATTCGGCGGAGTCAGGGGCCACGCGCACCCATTTGAGACCTCGCTGCTCCCTGGGTGGCTGCGAACTGGGTTGGGTACGCCTCGGGTAATTTGATCATGTTCCTCTTTCTCCTCATCCTCCCGCTCACCGTCTCCTGCTCCTCATGCTCCTGCTGATGCTCCACCTCCACCTCCTCGTCCATGTCTTCATTCCGCTCCTCCTCTTGACCCACTGACCCACTGATGGCGAGAACATCATCCTGATGTAGCCATCCCCCCCAAAGCCGGTCGGTCCTGGGAAAAACTAAGAACCTGGTGGACCCCCCCTTCTACCTCATGCTCCACCTTTTCCAATCATTTGTCCGGGTCCTCCCTGTCCCCTCTTCCTCTTGTCTGCTCCTCTTCACTTCCTCCTCGCAATCCTCGGCTCCCTCGTCGTTGACGCCGCCCGCATCGCCCTCCCTCTACCCCTACGCTTCTCCCTCCGTTCCGACACTTCCTCGACCTCCCCTTCTCCCTCGTCGTTGTCGTCGTCGTCGTCGTTATCGTCGTCTTCGTTATCCTCCTTCTCCGTCCTCCAATTGCTCTTCCTCCCCTCCTCCCTCCTACTTCTTCTCAGCCTTCCCCTCCCCCTCTCCTGCTGCTGCTCCTCCTCCCCCGCTACTACTCCTCCTCTCCTCTCCCCTGCGCACCCTCCTCTTCGCCCGCCCTTCCCCTTCGCCTCCTTGTTGCCGCTCACCTTCTCACTTCCTTCTCCTCCTCCAGCAATGCATGAAGGTGTGCAAACCCAACTTCTCTGGCTGATGCTCTGGTGGGGCCTGTGCTCAGGGGAGGCCGCAGCACCGCTCAAAAATGTGCTGCTAAACCGATGCTGGAAGCAGGACTCACCCCCAGATCGTTCTTCGGTGCGGGTCGTCTGCGCGCCTCGTCTCGGTCGTCGTCGGCGTCGTCTTGGTCGTGGTGCGCGTCGTTCTGCTCGGGACTTGTTTCTCTTATGCGGTGACCACCAGCACCACCTACTGCCAGCATGCTTTCCTTCTCCCCCCCTCCTCCAATCCTGAAAAGATGCGGGGCTGCCTGGAGGATCTGCCCGTAGCCCGGGCGCAGCCAGTCGGACGTGGCAGACCTGCAGAGCATGTGTTGCAACTGCACTTTGGAGAAGACGCGGGAGAATGCGAAGCGGGTGCAACCGCTACATCAGTCCCACTCGTCAATGTGATCAGCGCGGGCGCCTAAGGAGCGGAACGATGTTGAGATTGGCGCACATTTCTCAATCTGTATGCTTGTGCTTGTGTATGCATGTGTGGGTATATGTATATACATCTACGTCTACGATGTATGTGATACCCCTGGGGGGGGCCATCTCCACATATGCAACGGAGGAAAAGGATTGGAAGACGAAAGAGAGGAGGAGATGGCAGGATAAACTATGACTTACACAAACAAGCAGCTCTCACGGCGGAAGCTCCCGCATTAGAGGTTCCAGAGAAGCTCTAAGGACAGGAGGTTCCCGCCTGAGAGGTCCCAAGGAACTGTCGGGGGGGACTATCGCCTGGGAAGTCCCAGACAAAATCTATGTGGAGGCTCCCGCCTGAGAGGTCTCCAACAAACGCTCAGAGGAAGCGGCCTCCCGCCTGAGAGGCCCCCCCCCCAAAACGATAAGAGGAAGAGGCCCCCCCGCCTGAGAGGTCCCAAAACCACGCGAAGAGGAATATTCCAGTCCTACGCCTGCGAGGTCCCCCAAGGACGCTAGGAGGAAGAAGCTCCCGCCTATAGGCACCAAAGGGGAACCCAACGAAACCCCCGATGAAAGCCCCTCATCCTTCCATCCTCATAACTACAAAAAGCTCTGAAATGAACAACACCAACACTCCAAACGAGAACCGACATTCCCGCCTCACGATTGGAGCCCTGTGGCGGTTCTCCTCTGTAGCTTTGTGTGTTTTTGTCGGGGGGGGGTCCTGGCGACAGCTGCAAGGACGAGAGACCTTCCGCTTGGGTTTCTTTGGGCTCCTTTGGGGCCTCTCAAACGGGCGCCTCCAAGTCACTGAGCTTTTGCTGGGGACCTCTTAGGCGGGAATCTCTTGCCCTTGCGACGTTGTTTTGGTGATGTCCCGCGCGGGAGCCTCTTCCGCCCCACGTGCCTCTCAAGCGGGGCGCTTCTCCTCCTTTGCATGTGTTGGGGACCTCGCAAGCGGTGGGCGCCTTCCTCTTAGCGTCTGTTCGGGGGCCTCGCACGCGGTGAGCCTCTTCCTCTCACCGCTTTTTGTCTGGCCTCTCAGGCGGAATGCCTTCTCCTCTGGATCATTACGTATGTGGGTGGAGGCGCGGAGGATGCGGACGACGATGCTGACAATGGTATTGGCCATCATGGTTATGACGACGGTGCGGGGGCGGGGGGCAGCGGACACCGAAGCGAAGACGCACGATGGACGGGGGAAGGGAAATAGCGGAGGAGGAGGGGGGGGTGATGGCGGAAGGCCGCCGCCGATTGTCGCGCTGTCATGGGCACGGCCTAAGACAGCACGGCGACTTTGGAGGTTCGGCATCCCTTCCCTCATCTCCTCTGCTCCCTTTCTTCCCGTTTTTCTCCCCCTCATCTTCCTCCCACTCTCTCTCTATTACGTTCTGTCTGTATTTGGTTAAGATTATTATCTCTCTCGCTCTCTCTCTCTCCCGTTCTATTTGCGATCCCTTCCCCCTCTGAGCGATTATCGCTCCCTCCCCCTTCTATCTCTCTCACTCTCTCTGTCTCGCTCGTGTTTCTCTCTCTCTCTCTCTCTCTCCTCTCTCTCTCTCTCTCTCCGTCTCTGTCTCTCTCTCGCTCTCTCTTTCTCTCTCTCCCCAGCCCCCTCTCCTGGGATCCCGAACGCATTTGGGTGTTCGTACTTGGTTGTGTTGGTAGCCTCGCAAATTTGTCGTTTGTTTGTTTGTGTGCTTTTGGTAATACCATAACTTTCGCGTGCCAGCATCCACGAAACCCGTGCCCGTCACCGACACCACATCACCAAAACTAGGGGGACCAACAATCCTTGTGAACCGCCACGGAGACCAACCATCCTCGCACGACGGAGCAGACCTTGTCTGGGTCCCTGATTGTTTCCAGCGTGTATTTCATGGTGATGTCAGGCGCATTGGTTTATCATTGCTGTCCACTGCGCGGGTGTCGTAATGTTTCCACTCGAAGAGATTTAGCGCATTGTTCACGTTTCCCAGTGTTTGGATACGCGCTGGTTTCCTACTGCTTTCGGGTGTATCAATTTCTTAGTGTTCCCCCACCCCATGCTTGTATTTAAGAATTGAGGTTTCAATTCTGACGAACTGGGCCGTGTCTTCGATCTGGCGGCCATGTGGCCGCCGTCGCCGCCCCGTCGCCGCCCGTCGTCTTGGCCGTGTCTTCGGTCTAGCGGCTATGTGGCCGCCGTCGCCGCCACGTCGCCGCCACGTCGCCGCCCGTCGCCTGGACCGTGTCTTCGGTCTGGCGGCTATGTGGCTGCGGTTGCCGCCACGTCGCTCGTCGCCGCCTCGTCGCCGCCCTTGACTTGCACCGCAAATATTGCACGATCAAGAAAAGGCGCCTGCGGCGCGCCCGTTGATCGGTCACAACGTAGGCGACACTACATATATTGCACAACATGTAGTACACCACATAGATTTGCACCACATGAGCCGTTCCACATATCTTACACCGCATCTATCCATTGCACATCAAACATTGCCACACATACACTGCACCACATAGATTGCGCAGCACGGGTTGCACAACAAGTATGGCACCGCATAGGCTGCCCAACCTATACTGCGCCACCTATCTGTCACATCATACATTGCCCCAGCTATATTGCACCACGTGTATTGCGCAACGCAGATTGCATCGCACGTTTTGTTCCGCATGGATGGCGCCACGTAGATTGCACCACAATGGATTGCACCACATGTGTTACACAACATGGGTTGCACAATGTGGATTGCACACCATAGTCTGCACCACATAGTTTGCACCGCCTAGTTTGATCCACATATATTACACCACATATATTGTACCACGTACTATAATCACGTATGCTACAAACAACACACGGCGTGGGGTCCACGCTAGCTAACATTTCCAATGCATGTACGCCTCATGGTTTTCCATAGTAGCACGCCTGTGCGCAGACTTCTTCTTGTTTTAACATGTATATGCGTTGCGTCCTTATGGTTTTCAACTGTGCGGGGTTCGTATTTTCACCAATGCACAAATTCTTTACTGGGTTTCAACTCAAATGATGTTGTGTTTGCTGCTTGCTTTTCATTCGACGGGCTCCTTTCTGTTTTCAGCGTTCTTATTGCGTTCATGGGTATGGATATGGTAGCGCTTTACAGCACAATGACTCTTAGTATTTCCAAGTGCAGTGCGATGCGTGTACTAATGTGAATCGCGTATGCTGAGCGAGGGCAACATACCGTTGGATTGGGTGGGATCACCCCCCCGTTGGACCTCCCATGAGGGAGCGCAACAACGTGACGACGAGGGCGCACCTGGCAATACCCAGGGAGAGCGGAGCGAGATCTGGATTGACCCGCGTGGCCCCCCCCGCTGGATGCAGCAGGGTGGCGGCAAGATCACGCCTGGCCGTGCCCAGGGAGGGCGAGGTCAACGATACTGACACCGACAACGACCAACGATAACGACGCAAACGTTGCCGCGCCACAGAATTCCCCCCTCCCCTCCCCCCGCGATGCGCCGACAGGGCGAGTCTGAACCCCGTCGCGCCGCGCGGACAGGTTGACGTTGACCGCCGTCGGGTGGGGGACCCACCCGCGCTTATTACCCAACACAGAAAAAGAAAGTGTGTCCGCATCCTGCCCTCGTCTAGGCTCAAGGGAGACGACACTCCTGGAATCGCATAGCCCAGGACAGACATCCCAAGCTCGAAGATGTTCCAGTCGACGTCGGGCCTTCGTCTGAATCCCCTGAGGGCTAATCGGAGTTGTTCCTCTTGTTCCTCCTCTCTTCCTCTGTGTGTGTTTTCCCCCGCGTCGCCGATGTTAGAAAATCCTGCCTTCGTCTGCAGCCGCGGGCCAGGGCCGCCTCAGGCACCCTGGCGAGAGAGGAGGAGGAGGCGGAGGAGGAGGAGGAGGAGGAAGAGGAGGAGGAGGAGGAGGAGGAGGAGGAGGAGGAGGAGGAGGAGGAGGAGGAGGAGGAGGAGGAGGAGGAGGAGGAGGAGGAGGAGGAGGAGGAGGAGGAGGAGGGAGGAGGAGGAGGAGGAGCAGGAGGAGGAGGAGGAGGAGGAGGAGGAGGAGGAGGAGGAGGAGGAGGAGGAGGAGGAGGAGGAGGAGGAGGAGGAGATCAAGGGGCCCTGGGGCACACAAAAATAGATATACACACAAATAGCAGAATTCCCCATATTCTCCCGTCTTTTCTGGGTTCTTGTCTTCCCCCCACTTCCCAGATTTCCCCGCATCTTCTGGGGCATCGACGACGAGCTGTGCCTGTGTTTTTTTTCCCCTCCCGAGGAGAGGGCGGCCGCGGAGGGAGTCCCCACCAAAAGGAGCTCGGCGGCGCGCGCGGAGGGGGACACGTCGGGCTCGCGTCGTGCCGACGTCGGCGTTGGCCTCGGACACCGCGGGGATCGTTCCGCCGGCGAGGTGCCCAGCGAGGTCCACCGGCGAGTGCCGTGCACGAGCTCGCAAGGCGTGTACGTGAGCTGGCACCTCTTGTTGAAGAGGAGGAGGGAGGAGGAGGAGGAGGAGGAGGAGGAGGAGGAGGAGGAGGAGGAGGAGGAGGAGGAGGAGGAGGAGGAGGAGGAGGGGAGGAGGAGGAGGAGGAGGAGGAGGAGGAGGAGGAGGAGGAGGAGGACGATCAGCCGTTTCCGAAACGTCCGAATCGTTCAACATCGACCGATTCTGGGTCGCCCGCGGGGTTCAAAATTGGACGCCGCGGGCGGGGTCGCCGCCGGTCGACACGACACGAACCTACCGTGGGTGATCCACGCTAAAGTGGGCTGGAACACCACAACACGACGGGCTGTTTTTCGTCGTTTTCGGTCTCTGGGGGCCCTCACCGCGCGATGAGAAAAAACGGCCCTTCGGAAGGGTCGAGGCTTCTGGGGGTCGCCGTTGTGAACAAATCATGACGTTGGGGGTCTGCCAGCCGCGCGCAGAGGGGGGTAGGGGGAGGAGGGGAGGCTTCTTAGAAGCACCCCTGCTTCTCAGAAGGCGCGGGCCTCATCTATAGATGTGGGGCCCGCGCCTTCCAAGAGGCAGGGGTGCTTCCAAGAGGCCTTCCCCCCATCCCCCTATCCCACTACGGGCGGCCTCAGCCACCGAAAACCGGTGTGCTGGCAGGTGAGCGGTCAGTCCTAGCTGCCGAAGGCGAAGGTAACGCGATTCCAATGGAGGGGCATGCTTAAGGATGCGGACGAACTCGGGTGACGATACATCGGCAATCTAGTCTCATCAGGATGCTCGCAACAGAAAAATGGAAACGTTGGCCGCAAACCTTAGGCACGAGACGGCATGGGGATCATCCTCTGTCGGGGCACCGAAACCAGCCTTATGATCCCCTCGTCCTGGGCTGTCATGGTAGTGCTTGCCAGAGGTAAAAAGAAAACGAGATCAAACCTGAGCCTCGGTAATCGGGAACCCTAATCGGGATGCGGTCAAACAACTTTTGCATGGCGTGTCGCGGCGGCGGCCCCGGCGACGCGCTGTGCCTTGCAAGCGGATGGCGTGTCGCCCCGCTTCGCGGGGCGGGAGGCCGGGAAACACTCGGAACGTTGACGCTCGGGCATGGGGACGCGGATGGTGTGTCGCGCCGAACCGTGGTGGGCCAGAACAGGCGGAGCGACACGCTGAGCTAAGCTCCCGACCATAACATCGGAAATCTCTGAGAGCTGGTGTGCTTGGAGGCAGCCGTTGTGAATCGTCGACCTGGTCTCGCGCGCTTCTCGGCTCCCTCGCGGCCTTCCCCGGAGCCTCCTGCCCCCCCCTTCGGGGTCGGCGGACCCGGCCGTAAGGCCTCTCCAGTCTCTACGAGCTGGCGTGTGTATCCGGCGCCGCGGCCGTTCCGGAGCGCTCCGAGGAACTCTGGGCACTCAGAGCACTCCAGGACGCCCTGTAGCGACGTATCCGCACACTGGGCCTGCCTGAACGGTGCCCCTGGCGTTTCGCGCCACTTTGGGGCCCTGGGGACATGCTGGGCTGCGTCAGGGGTGCTTTCGAAGCCGTCTGCGCCTCCTTGAACACGCTGGGGACACCTTGGACCAGGGTCACCTCTGGCTTGTGGGTCGCCCCGACGGGGCTGGAGCAGGTGGCCATCGGAGGACCGCACCTAAGATTCTGGCCCGAGTTGGGCGCCCCAGATCCATGAGGCGAGGGAGCGCGTATGGGTGGTATATAAAGTAGGCACATGCGATCAGAATTTGTCATTCTTTTATTAGCCAGCAAGTGATGAGCACGTACGTGTACTACACTCGAGAGCTGACAAGTCACAAGTGCCTCGCTGCCATGCAGCAGCGAGTGACCATCCCTCCATGGGTAGTATGCAGTCCCCCTGAACAGAACTGAGAACGGGGTTCCGAAACTCGCAAGCAAGAGGAGGAAGAGGAGGAGGGGGAGGAGGAAGAAGAGGAGGAGGAGGAGGATGCGGATGATGCGGAGGATGCGGAGGAGGAGGAGGTGGAGGAGGACGAGGAGGAGCAGACCTCTTACTTGGCGTGCCCACGAACTGTACCCCGAAGACGCCGACGACAACGGCGACGATGACGAACGACAGTGAGGCGCACGCCAACATGTATTCGTGATCCTCGGATCTGGTGCGCGGTAAGGTAGCTACCCCCGAAGCATGCGGCCACTGCCACCCCGTTTGGCGACAACACGCGCCGATCTCGCATGGAACCGAGGCCCCGCTGCGAACCCGCGCGCCCCGATCCCTGCTGGCGCTGCCTTGAGCCACCTGTGCTGAGAATGCGAACGTTCTACATGTGGCTTGTGGCTCCGACGAGGCAAACCGGTTCGGGGTACACCAATCCTGTCGCCGACTTTCGACGGCCGGACTCCAAGGCACCACGAGAACCTTCGGGGACATGAGACCCTGCGCCGGCCAAGACACACGGCACATCCAAGGGTACCCTCCCCAGGATGCACAAGTCGGCTACACGTAAGAGTGACCCTGGGTAAGAGTGACCTTTGGTGCGCGGCGCAACGGGGGACTCGGGATGGCCAAACCTGGGCGCGCAAGCCGCTGCTACCGCTTCGCGCTCAGCGATCGGGGGAGTCCTCTGGGCCCGCACCAGAGGTCACTCCGGCGCAAGGTCACTCTTACGTGTAGTCTTAAGTCGGGCCTGTCCCCCTACAGGGGGATTTTCGACGAAAAATAAAAAGCACACCAAAAATAATAAAAAAAACTAGTGTGGGGACAATTTTTGGAGAACTTTTTAACCATTGTGGAGTATTCTTAATTTTTTCGTCGAAAACCCCCCTGTAGGGGGACAGGCCCGACTGAAGTGTAGTCGAACAAGGCACATCGAACAACCACCGAGAACATCAGGGCACCCTCCCCGAGCCGCCCTCGCTGTTATACCCCGGCCTGACCGGCCTCGACGACTCGGCCGCGGCTGCGCAGGTCGGGGCAGCGCTCCCCCGCCCCCCCCCGCCCGGCGCGGCGCGCGGCCCGCCTCCCGCGCGAATACCGCAGGCCGGTGCTCGTCAGGGAGAACCTGGCCGGGCGAAGGGGTCGAGGTGGGTAGCCTTACGTCGGGCGTGACCCCTGCAGGGGGATAATCGACGAAGAATAAAAATTACCCCAGTGCGACCCTACCTAGAAGTTCGAGCCCCTAGGAAAGCAGCATTAGTTGCTATGCTATGCTATGCTATGCCATGCTATGCTGCGCTATGCTATGCTATGCTATGCTGTGCTGTGCTATGCTATGCTATGCTATGCTATGCTGCGCTATGCTATGCTATGCTATGCAATGCAATTCGATGCTAAGCTAAGCTACGCTATGTCATGCTGCGCTGTGCTATGCTAAGCTATGCCATGCTATGCTATGCTAAGCTGCGCTATGCTATGCTATGCTATGCTATGCTATGCTATGCTATGCTAAACCTGAGCTAATATGAAGCTAAGCTAAGCTAAGATGAAATAAGCTAAGCTAAGATGAGATAAGCAACGCTAAGCTAAGGGAACGTCACTGGGGGAACCGCGGGGCGGATCCTGGGGGAACCGCCCGGGGCGAGGACCACTGCCCGGCCCTTTAAGCACAGCGAGTAAGAACCCTTCTAGGCAGAAACTAGGTAGGAAAATACTCCAAAAATGTTCCAAAATGGTCAACAAATAAGAAACTTTGTCCCCAGACCATTTTTTGTCTACTTTTGAATATTCCCCCTGTAGGGGGACATGCCCGACTTCAGGGTAGCCTCCAGAGGCGCCCTCCTCCTCCCTCTCCCCTCCCCTGCCAGCGGGCCCAGAAGGCGAACAGAGCCAGGGCCCCGCAGGCTGACCCCTGCGATGCCGAGGATGCCGCCAGCAGCCAGCGGGGGTCGTCAACACATGCGACGCCTTTTCGATCGGCGGACCCGCATGTGCTGTTCAGCAACTGCACAGGGAAACAGATGCCCCCTTCTTTCTGGGGTTGTGCTCCCTGCTTCTGCCCCTGCGTTTCCTCCTCCTCGCTCGCTCGCTCGTCGCCTAATGACGTCTGGGTTTGCTGCCGGTCATGGCTGGGGTGATGCAAGGAAAAGGACAGGCGGGCAAACAGAGCAGTGCAAGGGAAGAAGAGGACAGTTGGCGTCGACAGCGAATTTCCACCGCCGACAGTCATGCGGCGCACATTTACCAGAGTCGATCAACGTCTCAAAGCCAAAATCGGCGAAGGGCAGAGGATCGCAACTCACACTCCTCCTCTTCCTCCCGACTTTGAAATTGGATGTGATCTCAGCCTGGGGGAAGGTGGAAGTCTGTGGGGCGTCGTTCCCGACCAGGCGTCAGCTGTAATTGCATCAAGCTCGTTCGCGTCTTGTTGAATCACTGCCGCTGAATTCAAGCACGTGCCGTTGCTGCATCAAGTGCACGCGCAGTATGTGGCACCGTTCATGCTACCAAGCGTTATGTGCGTGAGCATCCGGTTAAGAGTTTAGGTCACGCACGCACGCCGATGTGTGTATGTATGTGTGTGTGTGTGTGTGTGTGTGTGTTCGTGCGTGCGTGCGTGCGTGCGTGCGTGCGATCGCCTGCCACGTTGGAGCCGGCCTGGCCGTTCTGAGCCGCCTGGCTGTTTGCACCCGCCTGTTCACTGTGGCCCGCGCCACCGCGTGCGCACTGGCTGTTTGCACCGCCTGTTCGTTGTGACCCGCGCCACCGTGTGCGCCCGCCTGGTCGTCTCGACCCGCCTGGCCGTGCTCGCCCGCCGCGCCAGCCTCGCGGGCCGTGTTGGAGCGATTCCAAGACGACGTGGACAAGATCTCATCCGTGCAGGGAGGGCCTCGGCGAGATCGCCATTTGGGGCAAGAGCGAGGCCAAGCTGACGTCGCCGACATCTCCTTGTTGGAGGGTGTCCCCAGCGAAATCGGCATGTTGGGCAAGACCGAGGGCAAGACGACGTCGACGACATCTCATGTTTGTGAGGATGTCCTTGCTGAAATCGCCATTTAGGGGAAGAGCGATGCCGACACAGTACCATGAGTGTGTGTGTGTGTGTGTAAAGGTGTCCATCGCGAACTCAGGACCAAGGACGTCGGCAACATCTTATTGACTGTGATGATGTTCCCAGTGAAATCGCAATTCTGTGTAAGAGCGATGCCGACAATATCACATTTGTGTGATGATGCCCCTCGGGAAATCGGATTTGTTGGCCAGATGTAAAGCGTGTTGGGCTATGTTGGGCTGTCTTGAGGCCTAGAAGCGCCAAACTGGTTCACACACACCTATGGAGCATGAACGTGGTTTGGCCTCTTCGAGCTCTCTTGGGAGACCTCTTGGAAGCATCTTGGGTATCCTGCGGGCCTCTTCGTGTTGGACCGTCTAGTGGCCTTCGGCCCATCCCGCCACCGTGCCTGGGTTGTGGGTTAGAGGCCTCGTGGAAGTTCGTTTGGATATCGTAGGAGGCCTCTCGGGGGCCTCTTGGAGGCAATTTTGGAGGCCTCTTGGGGGCCATATTGGGGTCTCTTGTTGGGCTGCTTGGGGCCTCTACGGGCTCTCTTAGGGTTTCCAGATGGCCTCTTGGGGCAGAAAGCTCGAATTGTCCGTTCGTGTTCCCCCTCTTGGGCCCCTCTTAGGGCCCTCTTGGGCGATCTTGGGCGCCTCTTCGGCCGTTTTGGGGCCCTCTTGGACCGTCTAGGGGCCCTCTCGGGGGGCTCTTGGGCCGTCTTGGGGCTGTCCTGGGGGCCTCTGGGGCCAGCTTGGAGCGTCGGAGCCCCATGGCGCGAGAACGCGAAAAAACATTAAAACACACATACGGGACATCACTGATGTGTGTGCCTCTTTGGGCCCTCATGAGGGTCCTCCTCGAGCGCCCTTGGGGCTTCTGTGGGGCGTCTGGGGCCGTCTTGTGCGTCTTGGAGCGCCCTTGGGCTGTCTTGGAGGCCTCTTGGACACTATTGGGCGCTTCCTGAGGCCCTTTGGCCCCTCGGGGCCGCTTCTGGGGAGCGAATCGGAAGCGCATCAAGAAGTGCTCCCGGATGGTTGCGAACTGGGCGCCTGTACACACATACATACATACCTACACACATACCTACCTTTACCTTTACCTTTACCTACCTACCTACATACATTCATACATACACGCATGCATACATGCAGACGTAAGTACGTACGTACGTACGTACGTACAGACAGACATGCATGCATGCGTGCATGACTGCATTCAGACACACACGTACATACACATATACACGTATACATACGTTTATCTCAATATATATATATAGAAAGAGAGAGAGAGAGAGAGAGAGAGAGAGAGAGAGAGAGAGAGAGAAAGAAAGAGAGAGAGAGAGAGAAAAAACGATAGGGAGAGACAGAACAGAGAGAGAGAGAGAGAGAGACAGAGAAAAAAACAGGACGAGAGAAATATGCAGAGGAAGCGCAAGGGTGGCTGTTGGCGCGGGTGATGCTGCTGCTGATGATATTGTGACGGCTCTGACGGCGATGGTGGCGCTGATTATCGTGCTGATGATTGCACTGACGATGATGGTGGTGACAATGACGCTTATGGTGGTGATGGCGATGCTGCTGCTGATGATGATGCTGATGATGAGAACGATGGCGATGACGAGGATGATGATAATGCTGATGCTGGTGATGCATCTCATAATTGTCGCCCGGCGGACGACAGCAGTGAAGCCAAAGTGTCGTATCTTTTCTCCAGCAAGAGAAACCTCGCACTCTCTCTTCTCAGTACACAGCTCCCAACGCTGTACAAACAAGGCGCGGAACGGTATAGGAAAGGAAGAGGGGTAGGGTGGATATGGTATGAGTGATGAGGAATGAGTGGAAGTTGGGTCTTGAGCCAAAATGGTTACGACCCATGCTCGTGACCTTCAAGCTCAGGGAGTCTAGCAGGGGCATCGGCCTTGAAAACCACCGGCCTCTAGACTCAAATCACACAGTACCCCGACAAACAGTGAGCTTGATAGGTCGCGAAGGCACCGTGGCTCTCCTCCGAGCCAATGGGTCGCACCATCTTGGAGAAAGGGAGTGGGCACTCTAGTGCCATTCATGTAAATACTGCTGCTGCCGTCGTGCCGCAGCGAGTCCTGACGACCTCGCTCCGGCCTGGCTGGTCACTGATATCTCGCTCGGCCCTGACGACCCTCGAGAGACGTGCACCGGCCATGTCCCGCCAGACCGTGACGACTGTCACTCGGCATGGGACGGCTGAACAGCACTGGCCTTGCCATCGTTCTCCTGCTGCTGGAGTTGCCTCTGGGATTCGGCTCTGGAGCGGCCTTTCCTACGGGGATCCTCGCGCCGGCCCTCGAGGGCCCCGCTTTCCGCAGAGAGACGCAAACACCCGGAGCGAAGCAGCTCATATTGAGCCGCGTTGGTTTTGGCAAGGTCCGATTTCGTCATGCAATCGACCGGAAGTAACGGGCGCGGCATCCAACGAATCACGCTCCCGACCTTCTGCATGATATCCCGAACGACCGCGAGGTCGATCGCGGCCCGACGATCGGATCGAGAACCATTTGATAGCTTGCTGAGGGTGTCATATATTCCCTTGGCGTCGACTATGCTGACACACTCCGAGGGCGAGTGAGCGATCAGCTGGCAGTCTTCCTTCAAAATGGCCGCAAAGGGGCCGACTTTCCCCTGCCAGGCTTCTGACACCACGTTCCCTCTCACAACATCTTCGAACATGAGATGAAGCCACTGAGCTTCAGCAAGAGCTCCGGAAAGCGCCAGCGTCTCTCCTGCGAGAGTGCTCGCCACCTGGCGCTTGACTCGGCATGATCTCCAGGCTAGGGGGGTGGCCCTCGCACGTTGACCGTGCGCTAGAGCATTGTCTGCTAAATAGACCTGCCATGCTTGTTGTGGGAACATGCAGTCATCCGAGCCGACTCCTCCGCAGTCGCTGGCCGTCGCGAAAATGCAGCGGGAGGGGTCGAACTTGTGAATTATCACGGGCATGCTGGCCGTGGACCTAAGGTGATCCACCATCTTATGTGCCTCGACCAGGTCTCTGACGCATGGTGAGTTCACCTTGGTCGCTAGAATAGACGC